CCCCAAAACCCCAAAACCCCAGAATGAGAAATTTGTCTGCTTTTTGATGAAATGAAATTTTAGTTTAAAATACTTGGCTCAGCTTGTTTATTAATTTATAATGAAATCGTAGAAAAAATTTAATCCTCAGTATTACTTTATAATAATTGTCGGATTCTATAAACTATTTTTTTGTGAAATCTCTGCTACCTAGTCTTGTGGATTGACTTAGTATTTAAATGGAGAAACAAACTAATGTTAAGGTATCTGATTTTTTGTTATTTAACATGTAGAATGCCCCACAAATTGCAAAAACTAACAATGCCTTATTTTAGACGCTTAGGTTTAATGTATTTACTGCAATGATGGGCTGAGAAATTTAGATAGTTGGAATTGCAGTAATACATGTCCAAAAGGTTTTATAACTGTTTAATAGAGCAATGTAGATACTGAAAATGAGAACAACTTTTTTTACTGTCGAGGTATTTTTAAATTCCAAATATTTTAGACCCCTCTGGCTATTATATCGATAATTAATCGAAAAACAGTGGCTATGAATTGGGAATAAAAAATTATCCATTTAAACAGCTAGACGATGCTTTCAGAGAAATTTTTAATTATGCAACTGATCAAACCTACAATATCACTCTCAAAATTAAAGGAAACAGTAGCTTGAATTTGTTCTCTGATGCTATGCCAATTTTATTGATTAATCACAACTACACCATAATGTAATATTATATTCAAATGTGACGATTAACATTCATTTAGTACATTTTGGAATGACTTAAATTAATAAAGTACTAACTAATAATTAAATGAAGTAGAAAAGCTAAATGTTGAATATGCTACCATAAATTTATACTAGGGAAGTTTGTATAATAGAACACAAGATAATGTGATTGGAGAGATTTTTAATCCAACACTATTAAAAAATGGGACACCAATGCCATATCATGTCAAATTATTACAAAAATCTGGGAAAGTGCCATATGATTATGAGAGTAAGTTTAAGTTGAAGTTCTATCTATATGATGCCGATTTGACCATTATAAAATTAAGGTTTATTGAACATACTGTCTATACTGTCAACAGGAATGCTCTTTTTACTATGTATTAAAGTCTAAAATGGATTAATATAAGTGATTGCGACTTCAAAATAAAACAAGGCATGTTTTATAGCAAAGACGGATGGCTAATTAATGTGAAAAATTCGATGATTGATTATACTAACATGTTTTTCACCCAACTTATGGATTTAGATCCAAATATTCAAGATTGCAAGTACTAAACTAATGAATATAAGCCTTATATCTACATCTATGAAAATAATACCTTCTATGGTATAGGTATTATAGAATACGGACTAGTTTGGAACATTCAGACTCAATTTAAACTCTTTATGTTTAAGAATAATCGATTTAAGAGCTTTCTATAAAATAGATTTGGAGCAACATTTTATGTGATATTTGGAAACGAGTGTCCCAGAGACAATGGTTTAAGGGAAATTGTAGTTGAAGACAATACCTTTGATTTTAGTTCCTAGCAGATATATAATGGAGTCATATTCTATTGGCTTGCAACCTAGACTTATGATTAAGATACAAGAATTGCTATATCAAATAACCTATTTACAAACTTAGGATATGGACTTGATGAAATTAATTTTATGGAGATAATAGATGAAAGTTTAAAATCATTCAGAGTGGAAATGACGAACAATACTTTTGATGGAATATAGAATAATAGAGATTATGCTTTATCTAGGATCATCGCTAGCAAAATTAGATTAGATGTAAGTCAATTTGAATCTTAATATTTCCTCCATAGAACATCACCATTAAAAATTCTGAAATAGGCTAAGGATTCTAAATAATTTCAGGAGACTCTAAGATTTCAAACATTGTATTTCACAATATCACTTCGAGATGTAAGTTACTTTAATCGATAAAATTGCAATGAAAATAGATCAGATCTACTCAAATATGTACTACTTATTTATTAATGGAGGAAATAATGCAGAAATTAATAACATTTCACTTTCTAATTCATAATTAGGAACATCTCAGTTTATCCACTTACTAGTAACATCCTAGATAACATTTAATAATATGACAATTAGAAATATTTCAATTCACAGTAAAAACCTAGTATAAATAGACTAATCATCTAAAATCTTTTTTAACAATCTAACTCTATCCCACTGCCTATTAAAATCAGATCGTAAATATAAATTGGATTTAATTTTTTATAGTTGATTTAAATATATTTAAAATTACCAAACAACTTTCAGCTTCGAATATAGAGACAATACAATTTAATAACTTGACATTCTAGGATTCTAATATATCTCTTATACTATTTCAAAGCATAAACATTGCTAAAGAAGATCAAAGCGAATTCTTCAATATAAGTTTAAGAAATATTGACTTATAAAAGCTTTATATTTAAGGCAAATACTCCCTTATAAGATTTTAAAGCATTGCTCATCCTAATTTCAAGGTCATTGTTAGAAACTTACAAGTTCTCAACAACATAATAGAATAATCGAGTATTTTTGAGTTGCAGCACAATTCAAAAAATTTAAGCTTTATTGACTGCTCGTTCATTAATAATACGGGCTAAATATTTTATATCAATCCCACATTGCAAGATAAAACATTGCCACAAGTAACAATAATAAGAAATTCATAATTTGTTGGTAATAATGGAAAGGACTCATCTCTATTCTACTCAACATTTAACTCAAATTTAACTTTTTACAATACCTTGTTAGAGAATAACTATGCAATTGGGAGAGGATCATTAATTTTCTCAGAAAATAATCTTGCTTTTGTTGAGATTAGCTCCTCCGTTATTCTCAATAATTATGGAAATGTCGGTTTATTGTATTCAAACTTTTATTCAACTTTCATAATCACTAATACTACGTTCAAAAATAACTTTGCAATTGTTGGTGGAATTATGTATGCTCAGAATGAGGGCAGAGGTTTATTCAGCAATTGTTCATTTTAACAGAATAAAGCATTTAAAGCAAGTCTTATCTATTCTATTAACTCATAAAGCATCATATCAATTAAAGGAGGCTTGTTAGAAAACAACCTAGTAGGTGCTTTAAGTGTAGGAGATTTAATTTATCTGGGATAATTGTCAGAAGAATATCAAAACTTAATCTAAGATACTATCTAAAATAATTCATTCGCAGATATAGACTAAAACTATGCAATTTAAATTATTAAAGGCACCTTTATGTTTGAGGGAGGAGTCGTTATTAGAGATTAAAGCATGTTAATGCTTATCAAATCATCTTCTCTATTGACATTTTATCAATTTACTCTAAAAGATATTCTATAATATAATAAACTACCTTTAATATCATCAGATTAATCTGTGGTAAATTTTACAAGAGGTAATGTTTAAAATATTTCAGGAGATTTTTCATTATTAGAAACCAAATCAAAATCCATAGTACTGCAACAAGACATCATAATGATTGACCTTATGTGCTAATATCTAGACATTTAAGACTCTGATGTTCAAATTCGAAATCTTAGTGTAGCATAGATTAAATAAGGGTCTGGCTAAGTAAACTTCATTAAGAGTTAACAGTGTAATTTTGAAATAAAAAATTCTACTATTTCTAATTTCTAATCCTGGATCAACACGAAAAGTTCAATAATAAAACTGGTTGAAACTAATGCAGATTTTAATGAACTACATATTGATAATTATAATCGCACTTAAGCAATCAATTGTGATAGTAGCATTATAAACCTTAATAATTCCTAATTCACCAATGGACTAGATGTTAGTAAGAATGGAATAGCTTTTTATGCTCAAAATTCAAATCTAAATATCTCCAAATGTATTTTCTAGAATTTATAAGGACTTTCAGGGGCAGCTATCTATATTGTAAAATAATCTAAGTCAATTCCAAGTATTTAGCTCACTGTTGTCAATTCATCGTTCTATTATATTTCGGCCAATTTAGACGGAGGTGCAATTTACTCATTGGATACTAATGTGGCTTTTCTTAATAATTCATTCACTAATGGGACCTCAGGAGAATCAGGAGGGCTTATTTATTTGAAGTGTTCTACATCTTTGGACTGTGATTATTTGATCTTTAATAATACTTTAATTAATAGCACCGCTAGACTTAAAGGAGGTGCTATTTACTATGACTCAAACAGACCATAAAATATCAATGATAACATATTTTTAAATAATTCTGCAATCTATGGGCCAGATATTGCTTCTTTCCCCTTTTAGCTTAAACTAATAAATAGCCGAGTTGATTTTTTAAAGAATATAACTAGCGAGGAATATTTACCAGACAATTTTTACATAGGGTTAGTTGATCAAGATGATTAGATTGTTAATGATAAAATTAGCAGCACTCTGCTGATTACTTCAATGAATGAAAGCTTATCTGTAACTGGGATTACAAGCGTGATTAGTGAGGATGGGGTTTTTGAGATTTCAGAGCTTAAACTAATAGGGAAGCCCTCTAAATCATATCAATTGAAATTATCTTCAAATGCTATCGATCAAACTTAAATAAATTATTAATCTATGAATCTAAGTGCTGATCTAATATTGGACATAAAATTTAGAGAATGTGTGTAAGGAGAGATTTAATACGAAAGAAAATGTTTTGAGTGTCCAAGAGGTACTTACTCATTAAGTGTACCTGATAAAAATTGTAGAAATTGCCCAGATTATGCTAAGTGTGACGGTGGTACTAAGATTTTCATTAATTATAATCATTGGAGAAGTAATACAAATACAACGAAAATCTATAAATGCCCTAAAAATGATGTATGTCTGTAAGTTTACTTTTAATTTGATTATTGCAAGCCTAGAGGCGGATCAGACTCCCTTTGCCTAATTGGATATACAGGTAAATTGTGTACATAATGTGATAAAAATGTTAATGGGGATTACTATGCTAGAAATAGTATATACAATTGTTCTAAGTGTCTTTCAACAATTTACTAGGTCTCAATAATAATTGCACTTGTAATATATTTAAAATTTAGATATTTATAGGTTATTGGACTGTCAATATACATTATCTACATTCTATTGTAAATTAAAGATAAGTTTTAAACATTTATTATAGTTCGCTTATCAAGAACTCTAAGAGAAATAATCCATAGACATTACTAATGCGCATTTTGACTAACTACTTCTAGGTAGTGATGATGGTCAAGGAGTTTTAACTTAATTGGCCAACTTAAATCACAGAATTTCTAGACTATATATCAATTGGCGGTTAGGGTTACTCTCAAGTAATGTCATTTGAATGCTTGATCAATGAAAGTGGAGTGGATATAGGATTGCATCAAATTTACTTCTTCGTAATATTGGTGGGACTCATGCCCATTATAATGAGCTTAATCGCCTACGCCATTTGGACTGTGGCTTACCAAATCAAGAAAATAAATTTGTCTCATAAGCAATATAGAAGATATATCCGTACATCAATAATACTATTTTCCTATCTATGCTATCCAATAATCTCACAGAATAGTTTCTCGCTTTTGAGTTGTGTTGAGTTTGAAGATGGTATTTCATACTTAAGATAGGACATGAATATTGAATGCTGGACTGAAGAACATAAAAGAATGGCTTTGACTATTGCTCTGCCCTTTATACTTTTATGGGCTGTAATGTTTCCTTCATTGATAGCCTTTTAACTTTGGAGAAATAGAGAGGGATTATCAAGACCCAAAATGATGACTGAATATGGATTATTTTACACGGGGCTAAAAGATGAGAACTACTATTGGGAGGTGACTTATGTAAACTTAAAAAAACTTATTTTTATATCACTCTCTTCAATCTTATCTACTGTGGACTCTTATGTCAAGGTATATTTAATTTACTTTCTACTAAATTCTATAGGCAATGATAGGATTGGGATTAATTTTTATGGAATTGCAAATATCACACTTACAAAGTCCTTATATGGATCCTCATATGAATTTAATTGATCGGCTTAGTTCTTATGCTTCAGTAAGATTTTCAATATTTATCCGCTATAGATCTCTATACTGATTGGAGGAATGTTTTATATCAGCGATGAATTCAAGAATAAAGATTCTGCCATGACCACACTATTTGTTATCATACTGATTTTGAATATGATATTCGGATTCTTCTGGCTTTACACATTTTTAAAAATCATCATCACAAATAAGATCAGATAGCTTCAAGGAAAAATAAATTTCTTAAAGAGAATAAGTATTGTGACATACCAAGAAAGATGGAGTATATAGCAAGAGGAGATAGATCGTATTAAGCAAATGTAGCTAGAATTTAAAAAATAGGTGCCTTAACTAGAGGTCAAAACTAAAAAGAAACTAAAAAAGAAGTAAAAGAAAGTTATTGTAGTAAATAAAAGAGATAAGAGTAAGGGTATTGGAAGAGATAAGGATAAGACTAAAGAGGAGAGCAAAGATTAGAGCAATTATTATATCTAATCCAGTGAGATGAATGCTATCTAGGAGTCTGATAGATAACCACTCAGAAGACAAGACAACATAATAAGCTTAAGATTTAAGCCAAAGAATAAGCATAGAAATAGAAATAGAAATAAATTAGATGAAAGTGATACTTCTAAGATGAGTCTATTCACTAAGAATCAGAATAGCATCTCATATATTCATAATCAAACAGACTTAAATGATCTATCATAGTTATAGTGAGCTTTTGACACGTAAATATTTGATAAAAGAATATGAATTTGGTTTATTTTGATTATAATAAGCTGAATAATTTGTAAAATTTTGATAGCTTTTTAAATGTTTATAAATCTTAATTTATTTGTTCTAAAGGGGGTTTTGGGGTTTTGGGG